ATGAATAGCAAAGATAGGATTCAAATACAGAACTATCTGACTTGAAAGATCCTGCTCCTTGAACCTCGTTACATTTACTAACAGCATTTTATGGCAATACCTTCCTTCAGCGCAGGTGTGACTGACTCATTTCCAAATTGAGAAGCCTCATGGGACACAGGCTGATGAGCAATAAGGCATCCACTACTAGTCCAAGACAAGGACTCGCAAAGTCATGACCCGTATAACCTGCAATGTTTGATTAACGCTTGATCTATCTCTGGCTGTCCCTTGATGTCCTCTGGCATAAACTGTGAGATCTACTTATCTTCCTTCTGATAGAATGAGAGAATAAAAAGCAGAGAAGAGGAAATGAAAAGTTAAGGGCGGCCGGGTACGGTGGCTCACATGTGTAATCCCAGCACTTTGGGAGGCCGAGGCAGGTGGATCACGAGGTCAGGAAATCGAGACCAGCCTGGCTAACACAGTGAAACCCCATCTCTACTAAAAAATTCAAAAATTAGCCGGGAGTGGTGGCACACGCCTGTAGTTTCAGCTACTTGGGAGGCTGAGGCAGGCGAATCACTTGAACCCAAGAGGCAGAGGTTGCAGTGAGCTGAGATCGCACCACTGCACTCCAGCCTGGCAACAGAGCGAGGCTCCATCTCAAAAAAAAAAGTTGCTGGGCGCAATGGCTCACTCCTGTAATCCCAGCACTTTGGGAGGCTGAGGTGGGCAGATCACCTAAGGTCAAGAGTTCAAGACCAGCCTGACCAACATGGAGAAACTCTGTCTCTACTAAAAATACAAAATTAGCCAGCATGGTGGCACATGCCTGTAATTCCAGCTACTCGGGAGGCTGCGGCAGGAGAATTGCTTGAACCTGGGAGGTGGATGGTGCAGTGAGCCAAGATCATGCCATTGTACTCCACCCTGGGCGTCAAGAGTGAAACTCCATCTCAAAAAAAAAAAAAAAAAAGAGCACAAGCTTTGCCCCGTTTTTAGGATTCCTCCAGCAGGAGTGGCCCCACACGCAGACAGACTACACAGCCACTACACGCAAAGCTGAACATCCAACATGGCTCCCACACCCAAAATGGCATCCTCCCTTCCCCTACCATTCTGCCTTAACTCGAGGAAATTATTTTAAGTCCTTCTCTTTTACTCGTTTTGAGGAAAAGGGTAATTCAGGTCTTCATAGCTTAGCAAAGCCATCATAATGAAGCCTAAGTTAGTGAGCCAGGGCAGCCCCGCCCTGTGTTCCCACCTTCTTGGCATCATCTTCCCCAGTGCACCCTGGGCAGCTCCAGACCACAGCTGTTCCTCTCCCCGTGCACCCTGGGTAGCTCCTGGCCATTCTCAGGAACTGAGCTCAGACACCTCCTTCTCCAGAAACCCCTTCTTTTGTTAATTCCAACTTTCATTTTAGATTCAGGGAGTACATTTGTAGGTTTGTTCCACAGGTATCTTGCATGATGCTGAGGTTTGGAGTATGATTGATCCCACCACCCAGGTAGTAAACATAGCACTCAATAGTTTTCAACCCATGCTTTCCTTTCTCCCCTCTAGTAGCTCCCACTGTCTACTGTTGCCATCTTTGTGTCCATGAGCACCCAATCTTCCGCTACCACTTATGAGAACAAGCAGTATTTGGTTTTCTATATCTGACTTAATTAGCTTACGATAATGGCCTTCAGGGACATCCATGTTGCTACAAAGAACATGATTTTATTCTTTGCATGGCTCCACAGTATTCCATGAGGTATATGCACCAGGCTTTCTTTATCCAGTCCACCCTGGATGGACACCTAGATTGATTTCATGTCTTTGCTATTGTGAATAGTGTTACAAGGAACATAACAAGTGCATGTGTCTTTTTGGGAGAACAGGGATTTTTTGGTTTTGGGGTTTAATATACAGGCCCAGCAATGGGATTGCTAGGTCAAATGGTAGTTCCAACTTTGAGAAATATCCAAACTGCCTTCCACAATGGCTGAACTAATTTACACTTCTACCAGCAGTGTAGAAGCTCTCCCTTTTCTCCACAGTCTGACCAGCATCTGTTGTTTTTTGACTTTTTAATAATAGTCATTCTGGCTGGTGTGAAATGGTGCCTTACTGTAGTTTTGATTTGCATTCCTCTGATGATTAGTGATATGGAACATTTTTTTATAAACCTGTTTTTGGCCACTTGTATGTCTTCTTTTGAGAAGTATCTGTTCATGTCTTTTGCCCATGTTTAAGGGGTTTTTTGGGTTTTGCTTGTTGAATTCAATTCCTTATAGATTCTGAGCTAGTTTTTCTGGTTTACTTTGGAATGCCCTTAACCAAGAGGAGGGGTCCATTCAGTCAGTTGTGGGGGCTTAGAATTTTATTTTTGGTTTATAGTAGTTTGATAAGAATGCTGTTGAATCTGTAGATTGCTTTGGGCAGTATGGACATTCTAACAATATTGATTCTTCCAATCCGTGAGCATGGAATGTTTTTCCATTTGTTCGTGTCATCTATAATTTCTTCCAGCAGTGTTTTATAGTTCCCCTTGTAGATGTAGGTATTTTATTTTTGTGTGGCTATCGTAAATGGGATTGTGTTCTTGATTTGGCTCTCAGCTTGAATGTTATTGGTATATAGAAATACTACAGATTTTTGTACATTGATTTTTGTATGCTGAACCTTTACTGAAGTCATTCATCAGTTCTATGAGCCTTTTGGCAGAGTCTTTGTGGTTTTCTAGATATAGAATCATTATCAGCAAAGAAGGATAGTTTGACTTCCTCTTTTCATATTTGGCTCAGAAAGCCTTTTCTGATCCAGCTCCAGCAGCGTGTGTGCAGACATGTGCACAGCCAGCAGCGCCCCTGCTGCATGACCCTATAACCCTTATACCGCCCCTGCCACGGCTCATGCTACACTGCACAATGCCCATGCTTTGCCAGGAAACCACTTGTCTCCATGCTCTGCGGCAGGAGGAATTGTAGCTGGTCTTCCTACTCCCACCATTGAGTTCAGTCCAGGAACCCAGCAGACTCGAGAAAAAAAGGACAGAGAAAAGAGAAAGCTTTGCCCAGACCCTCCGCCCACCACCTCACCTTCCTTTGGTCACTTCAGGCCTGGTGAAATTCCCAGAGATCAAAGCTGCCAAAGGAGAAAAGGGTGAGGCCTGAGGAAAAACAGACGGGAGAGAATGACTGAGAAAACAAGGAATATCTGAGCGGGCGCTCCAGCGCTCCAGTAACAAAGGTCAGAGCCATTGCTTAGCAATATTTGTAGTGCCCAGTGGGGCAGTGAGGATGACTCAGCTTCTAGGGCTCACTCCACAGATGGCCCTGGGCTTGTATGTCATGGGACAGTCTAAGGGGTCTCTGGAACAGCTGCCCATGACCTGCATGTGCTGGGCTCGCTCGAGGCGCCATGCTGTAATCGCTGGATGTCTCCCTTCATGCCTAATCCATGACAAGTCAATGAACTGGTAATTAAAGAAACCATTTGGGCAGATTTCAGGAACATCTGACTGGTCTCCCTTTTGCCGTTGTGCATGAAGAGGAAAAATTAAACAGGATGAGAGCTCTGGGTCACACAGCCTTACCTCCATTTCTGTTACTAACCTGACTTGTGAAAGGAAGTGAAACCGTTTAAATGCCCTTCTTCTGTCAGCATGGTAACCAGGGGTGGATGGAGCTGGAGTCACCATTTAACAATACACTTTTAACAGCTCATGTGAGTGGCTGCAGCCATGCTATCAAGCTAAACACATGTTGATCTGAGGAGATTAGAAAAATAGTTCCCAGTGTCTGGGGGTGTAGTGCTTTTAAACAGGTGCTTTGTGTTTCAAAGAACAAACCATTAAGAAGTTCTTTGTATACATGTAGCCCATGAACCTGAAAAGAAGTAAAAGTAAAATCAATAAGGAGTCAGCAACCCTAAGCAGCAGGCTAGAGGATTTGGCCATTAGAGATACGGTTATAAAAGATTGCTATTCAGTTTATCTTTCATTTCGTGCACAGCTAATGATAGGAGGAATCAAAAATCATCTTCACATTGAATTTGCACATTTTTTAATCAATAAGAGAAAAAACTTACACTTTTCTCCATATTTTATTTCCTTTTTCCAAAAAGAGATTGAATTTTTTTTTTTTTTTTTGGAAATTTAAATGCGCTCTTCCCATTCACGAAAAGAATTATATTACTACTGCATTCCATCTGTTCAATCACAGTTTAGTTTCAAGTTGAGAGTTTCATTTCCAGGCATGGACAGAGTAGTTGCCGTCCCTGTTTTGCTCCTCATTTTCAGGGCACAATTCCTTGGCAAAGCCATAGGCTACTGAGTAAGTCAAACTCACTACTTTTCACCCTCGAAACGCCCTTTACATATGTGAGACTGAACACATACAACATGTTCCACAACTAAAGTTCAAAATCATAATGAAATGAATCAACTGTGTTCAAGCATAGGAATATCTAATTTTAAAAAAACTTTTCAAAATGAATGCTAAACCCTTCCATTTAATTATTTGCCTTGCTTTATAAACTATAAAAATATCTATTAGCAAGTGTGATCATATTCTTTGTTTTTAGGGTTTTGTAAATATTTCAGAGACAGATAAAAGCAGAGAGATTTCTAATAGACAAGCTGTTTACACAATTCTGTGCCCTGAAAGGTATCTCCAACCAAAGAAAAGAAGGCGATCACCTAAGGAAAAAGGGGTCCAGCATTCTTTTTCATCAGAATGCTTGGTATTCCAGAGGCAAATAAGGATCAGTGGGCAGACCACAGAGTGTCCTGGTGGCACCAGTAATATTCATCTCTGTTGTGAAATTTGGACTTGGCTCAGACCATCTGCCATCACTGCAGCCCAAGGTTACCTTTCATTTGGAAATTATGCTGTCAACTTTGTTTAGAATATGCCCGGGCATGGCATATGCTTCTCCTTGCTGCCCAAGGAGATGCTGGCATGGAAAACATGTGAAGGCTCCTGATTGAAACCTGTGTTTACAGACTTTCCTCTTCTCTTCTCCCCTAGTTACTGTGACAGTGGGAGGCAAGCAACACCTGCTCGGACTGTATGACACCGCAGGACAGGTACATTTTTATTATCCTTGATTCATTGGAGCGGGGTGGTGTAGGGGAGAAAAAGGTCCGTTTGGTTAGGCAGGCGGGACTCATAGCACAGATATTACCCATTCTGATCATTTGGGGCCAATCTGTTGTCTGCCTAAATGACAACCAAAAGCACATTCTCAATATCTTAAAAATACTTAAAACTATGAAAATCTAAATTGGTACATTATTCAAGGTATTGACAGCTAAATAATGATTCATTCATTGACTGATGACTGTCAAAAACCAAAATAACACATTTGTGACCAAGAGTTTCCATTTCTTTCTGTGAAAACCATTCCAGATCCAGGATTCATAGGTCAATTTCATAATGTTTAGTTACACCCATTTTTTTTCAGGTTGTTTTCTTTGCCTGCCCTTTATTTGAATTGCCTAATGAACTGCGAAAAGGCCCAAAAAGAGATTGGTGGGAGTGAGGGGAGGAGATAGGGAGAGGATGGATTGAATGTTGGAAGGAAGAAAAGCCAGGATCCTAGAGGTTTTCCAAAAGTGAGAGTCAACCCTGAATAACTGGGGGTTGACTCTAAATTCCCTAAGATTCTTGAAATAGTCTCACTTTGTCAGAAATGTTTCTTCAAGTTGGAGAAACTAGCCCACCAATAATGCAAGATAATGGGCTAAAATCCTCAACATTTAATCCATTGGCACAGGCTCTCTTTGGGTGAAAATGCTGCCTTTCTGTCTTTCCCAGCATCTCACACATCGCTACAAAGTTCCTAATGTTCTAATATTCTAATCCAGTTGGTGGATTAGTAGAGGGGAAGTAGTTAAGCAACTGATGGCCGTGGCCCAATTTCTTGGATAGAGCTTTTGTTACCATATGTCTTGGGTCATTTATTTAGGTCAAAATCAGCAGGTTGTTCAGTCTGTCCAAATTCATACATCCTTTGGAGTGAACATTTTACCATGCTATTTCTCAGTGTGAGTTTCCAGGTAATTGTTATAGTGACGCATTCATCTAAGCCTTTTTTTTTTTTTTTTACAAGTATCTGAATATATATCATTTTGCTCAACTTGAAAGCTCTTCACAAGAATACAAATAGATGGAATTCTCTTTGGGGATTTCTGTGAAAATGTGTGGGGACCCCTGCATAAACCTATGTGGAACATCAAAGACTGCTGTTGGCCAGGCTAGGGTGCAGAACATAGCCTGGTCAACACCAGCCTGGTACTGGAAACTCTAGCACCAGACTCAAAGCTTCTAAGAGCATGCAGGTTCCCCTCATTGACAGATGCCTGTTCTGGTAAGCTACCACCAGGAACTGGGAGTGGAAGAGACCTCTCACGTCAATAGCAAGACAGATGACTAAGAAAGGAGGCCCCCCACGTGCTCAAATGAAAAAATCTGTTTGCTCCTCTAATCTAAGATACAAGGGCCTCAGGATAGATCATACCCCCAACAGAAAGCTTTCCAGCAAGAAGGGTGTACCACTTTGGAGGCTGAAGTTGCCTACTCCAACTCAATCACACAATCATTGGGTGTCCCCATTCATCAGGAACTCACAGCCTGAAATAAACAGGAGTTTGTACCCTCCTCCCCCCAAGTCAAATTTTACGAACATAATCCGGTTTGAAAAGTTCAAATATGGCAGTGATTATTTCATGACTCTGAAACCTTTCTCTGGTCCCTCTGGCTTCAGAAAATGTCTCTCTATCGCTGTTGTCCAGTCAGTTCTCCCGTCTTCTGCAGCAATCCAACAAATATTGCCTCCTGTGCCTTAAGTGCCCAAGAACAACATCCACAGGCTCCTGATTAATCTTAAATCCAATAAAACTCTTTAAAAGCTCTTATGGAGTATAATTATTTTTTTCCCACTGTTCTGTCCTTTAAAAATGTTTAAATAATACTAGTATAAGACTTGAAGCTGTAAGACATTGTAAAAATATCTTTAAATTCCACATCAAAGCAAACAGAATGGCCTAAACCTGTGACACAGAAGTGATGAAGACTAACAAAATACAACAACAAATAGGTTACAAGATATTTTTTCAACTCTCACTTGAATGCTTTCTATTCGGAGGTAGACAAGGCTCAAAAAGGAACCATAAAGCATGGGGAAAAGGAATCAGAACATATCTTAAGGTTCCTTCTAGGCCTAAAATTCTATAACGATGGATACCTTTCGCAGGTAATCTCAAGAAAGCCTGATAGAACTGGAGTAATTAGGCAAAAGGATTTGAGGCTAGACCCACAGGAGACTTTTCAACAATAGAAGATGTTAAAGAATGGGAATGTGTCACACTATAGGACCACCTATAATTCATTTTCTAGAACAGTGATTCTGGAACTGGAGTATGTGTCAGAATCACCTGTAGGCCTTGTCAAAACTCAGCTACTGGGCCCCACTCCAAGAATTTTTGCTTCTACAGGTCTCGTTTGAGACCCAAGAGTTTGCATTTCCTTTTTTTTCTTTTTTTTTTTTTTTTTTTTTTTGAGACAGGGTTTTGCTCCCATCACCCAGGCTGGAGTGCAATGGCACAATCTTGGCTCACTGCAACCTCCGCCTCCTGAGTTTAAACCTCCCAAGTAACTGGGTTTACAGGCACCCACCACCACATCCAGCTAATTTTTATGTTTTTTTGTAGAGATGGGGTTTCACCGTGTTGCCCAGGCTGGTTTTGAAACCCCGACGTCAGGTGATTCACCCACCTCAGCCTCGAAAAGTGTTGGGATTACAGTCATGAGCCACTGCCTCCAGCCCAAGAGTTTGTATTTCTAACAGGTTCTCTGGCGATGATGCTGCTGGTCCCCTAGCATCACTGTGCTAGAACATTGCCACTCAAAGTGTGGTCCACCAACCAGTGGTGTCAGCATCACCAGGGAGCATATTAGAACGGCAGAATCTCAAGGCCTATCCCTAGCCTACTGAATTTGAAAATTCATTTTAAGAAGATCTCCAAATCACTAGAATGCACATTAAATTTTGAGAAGCACTACCCTAAACATTTCTGGTGGTTGAGGCATCATTCTGAAAGTTAGAAGATGCAATGGAAAGTAACCATTACTGAAATTTATTCCCAGAGTTCTGCAATTCAGCTATTAAGACTTTGTAACAAATTTAATTTGGAAGCAGTGTCTCAAAATGTCCATTCCCAGTCCTAGGTAGAATAATCTCTTCTCAGTTATATTCTACTAACTGAGAAGAGGCGGCACATACTAAATGTGCTGTATAGCTAAAGAACTTCTATAATTCAAAAATACTCATTTGGTCAATTATTAACAATGAAAGACAGATGATTTCAAAACCAATCGATTAATCCCTGAACCAAAAAAAGGAAATGTCTCTGAATCCAGCTATAGAGTCCATCTTGCTTGAATAATTAGATTTTTGTGCATGAATAAACCAAGGAGCAGTGCCTCACATCTTTGTCTTGAACTAACTGAAGCAAATGTGTTCTGAGAGGTAAAGTGATAGGAACTCATTATCTCAACTCTCAATATCACTGCTAAACAAAATCATTTGACCTGCTTTCCCTCTACTTTGAGGCACCTAGTCTGCCTCAGACCTGGCTGCAGCCCCACGAGCCCTGGCCTGAGACACTCCTGCCCCTCCACAATTCAGCCAAGCATGTGCTAAAGAGAGTTTATAATGAAGTCACTTGCATACGCTGTCAACACGCGGCAGCTGCAATTAAACATTAGCTCCCTCCCCAAAACCCTGAAACAAACTAACATTTGGACTTGGAGTGGAGTCCTTTGAAGATAGGGTCTTCAGAACTCTGTTAGGTACAATTCCAAACATTACATTAGGCAATGAAATGAGGGATTTTTCTCAGGGTGAATGCATGTTACTCCTCAGTTCACACTAGGGAGGAAATGAGGCCAAGCAGGCCTGTGAGCCAAATCTATTTAGGCTGTGCCAACTCATCCTATACGAGACATGTCCCTAGTAGTGTGTTACTGAATGTTAAAGGGATTTCTAGCGCTCAGATCTTTGGCTCAGCTATGAACGAGTCGCAGAGCTGACTTTCCCATGATTACCTTGCAGGCCAGTTTGTTGACAGTGAATCGGGAGAGACCAAGTGGACAGCAGGGTGTTGGTTGGGTTGGGGATGCCACCGCCAACCCTGGTCATTCACCAGCTGAGCAACTTCAGGGTAGGAGAGGGCTCTTTCCCAGGTTACCGCTTATGGCCAGGGGTCCTCCTACCTCGCTGCAGGCCATTAGAGTGGAACCAGCCATTGTATTAGGACAAGGTTTTGCCTCCTTCTCTTGATGTGGCCTCACCTAGAAGGATGATGTGGGCAAAACCCTGTTCAGATTGCGGCCTCTCAGGCAAGACTCCAGGATGGGCATCTCTCAGAGACAACATCTGTGAAAACGGCAGTTAGCAGCACTGCCGGGGAGAAATGAGCATCTCCTGGTATCAGGGCCAGGTGCATCCTGGCCAGGCGCCTGGTTCTGTGGAAGGGTGAACCACCAGGTTCCCCACAGAATCAGGAACCATCTGCATGTGGCCAAGCACAGAATGGTATCTGTCACCGAGAAACCAGAGCCCACAGCAGCTGAGCTGTCACCAATGACCATGGGAGTAGAGAAGCAGGCAAGGCCATCAGCCCAGCCCCTTACTCGCCCATCTTCCCGCATGTCGCACATCTTTCCCAGGCCCTGAATTCCTGAAGTCCCACTTTCCCCCAAGGGCTGAAGAAGCATACAGTCAGGCAAGGAAGCAAGTACAGCTAGGGTTTATGAATGGCAACCCAGGCTCCACTTGGAAGGACACGCATAAGCCTTCCCCTTGGCTATTGGCTGATCCAATGGGGCCATCTGGAGCACAGGATCTGGCAGCCACCCGCTATGGAAAGTTTGCCTAAAACCTCAGAACAAATGTTTTCCCTCAGTGAGCAACTCCAACTTTCTCGCTCACATGTATTTTCATGTGGGATTTTTAGGAGTAGGCAATTTGGGGGATTAGGGAGAAGTTTGTCCACGTGAAAGCTGCTTAGTGAAAGTAACCTTA